AAACTGTTTGGGGGTGGTGACTAGACTGAGCAGTTTTCTTAGCAAGCCTGTCTGTGTCCTGGATAATTTTTCTTTAATATATTTTGTTTGTTTTAGGTGGACACAGTATCTTTATTTTTATGTGGTGCTGAGGATCGAACCCAGTGCCTTATGCATGCTAGGCGAGCACTCTACCACTGATCCACAACCCCAGCCCCCTGGTTAATTTTTATTAGTGTAATTTTTATTAGTCTGATGCCCTTTACAGTGTAAGATTGCTACTTTACCGAGTGAAAGTTCAGCTTCAAGCAAACCCTTTATGTAGCTAGCATTAAGAATCAGCATTCCTGTCTTAGGAAGCCCCTTTCCCTCCAGATTAAGATGTTAGAATGAATATTTTTGAATGTGTATTTGGAATCAGTAAAAATATTGGCTGGTTATCCCTGGCTAATGATAAAGCTCAGGTGAAGGCCACTAACTCAGCTTGCTGGGATGTGGTGCCTAGAGGTAAGGGAGATAATCTAATATCTAGGTGAAAATGAAAGGAGAATCTGCTGTAGCTTTTCCTTGAATTATAGCATAACCTGCAAGGTAAGGGGACTGTTTCTGGGAGCTTCCATCTATGAGCCAGTCTGGGAGTCAGGTAAATGCTGATCCATTATGTGAGAAAATGAACTCATCTAGAAGTCCAGAATGTCAGGACAAGAGTGAATAAATTACATGGCCAGAGGGTTTTTTGTTGGAAGAAGAGTGGCCAGATTTAGAGAGGAGTCTTGCTGGAAGGTGGTTAGGGGATCCAGGAATTGTGATGCAGTTATTGGACTCTGGTTGGGGGAAGGGATAAAAATGAATGATGACTAAGAAGACCTGGGAGAGAGTGTGTAGTATGAACAGTAAGAGTTGATAAAATGCAGATTTTCTTGCTTCAGGGATTTGGAGAGCTGCTGTTGCTAAAACTTTGAGGCTTTGGGACCAGCCTTGATAAACTAATTGTTTCCATAGGAATGCAATGGGGTGGGTGTGGGGTATCCCCAGTCTTTAGGTAAAGAACTCCCAAGGCTTGTCTATGTTCTCAATGGAGTGACAGGAAAAAAAGGCTTGTTGGGGTTTGGTAAATATAGAGTTGAGGATTTGAGAAGAGAATTCTGTAGAGTAGACATGGTGGAGGAAAAAGAACAGGGACATGGAAGAGGATCCAACAGGTTCCCTTTGGAAGCTTCATAGAGGGATTTGGCTATGAGGGAGAATTTTGGTATCTATATGCAGAAATAGTTAAAAAGGCCTAAAGAGGGACAGCATGTTTCTTTTGGTGGTTGGAAGAGGAATGTTTTTTTAAAGCCTGGAGTTAATATTTAGGCTTCCTAAATATTGTACCTAAGGGAAGCAGAGCTGGGCCTTAGATTGAGAAACCTGGTCCCCCCAGGAGGTCAGAGAGTTAAGCAGGATGCTAGTGTGACCTGTGGGAATGTTCTAGTGAAGGACTACAGGGCAGGAGGTCATCTACATACTAGGGGACAAACTCTCTTGTTGGAGAGACCAGTAGTGGGGGCTCCCCGAGATTCCCTGGGGGAGAACTGTCCAGGTGAGTTGCTGTGTAGTTAGTGTCTGGGTCTGTCCAGGTAAAAGTGAAAAGTGGGTGTGAGGCAGGATGGAGGGGAATGATAAAGAAGGCCTATTTCAAGGCTAAGTTTATACTGAGAAATGTGTGATGGAGGCTGGGATATGAGATAAAAAGGATTAGGGGTTCAGCACTACTGGGTATGTGGGAACAGTGGCCTCATTGATTTTTCTGACATCCTGTACTAGCCAGAATTGACCATTGGATTTTTTTTTTACTCCAAGAATGGGCAAGTTATAAGGTGAGTGGATTGGTATGAGGCCTAACAGACCAGATTAAACCAGAATGCACACACTCATGCTAGGTGCCAAGTAAAAACTGAATTTTGAAAAGAGCTATTTTTCAAAAAAGCAAGAGAGTCGCAGTAGCCATCAGAAGGGGCCCAGTTTACCTGATCCAGAATGACAAGGAAATCCCCTCTGCTTTAATCCCATAAGAAAAGTAACTTTGAAATAGCGAATTTCCTTTTTGTTCCCTGTTTGGCCCTTTTCTGCTTGTAAAGCCAACTTCCTCTGCTCAGCTTAATGGAGCACCTGTCTATTTTTATAGACAAAAAGCAGCATGATTCATGAATTGCTAATAAAGTCAGATCTTTTAAATTAAATTTGTCTTTTGACAATATTATTGTTCCCATTTTAGAGATGAGGAAATGAGTTCAGACTGGGAAGTGGCAGCCAACCATGGATTCCAGAGCTATGTGCAACCCAAGAGAGAAAGGGTAGATGTGGGAGGTGGAGCAGAGAGAGGAACTGAAGTTGTTTCATTTGAGTTGAAAGGAACTGCATGTGATTGTTTTGCGAAAATATTTCTTAGTTGTATTTTATCTATGTTTCTCATGCTGAAAAACTCTTAATCTGGTGGATTTACTCTTCCCTTCCCAAGGACACTCCATAGTTGATATCGATCCAATGATTTGAAGGGACATTTAGATCAGGGCTTGAACACAAAACAGAGAGAGGGATTGATGGCTCATGGATAAATGTTTACAATAAGCCTCCATCAATGGCTTTGTGAGATGAAAGAAGAGAACCCATAGTAAATCACCTTAAATTTTAGTAGGTAATTGTAAGAATGAGTGTATTAGAGTGGCTCTGAGTTTGTAACAGTGGCTGGTGCTTTGTGAATTGTCCTTTGCAAGGTTACACCGAATCCCTTTGCCCAACATTCTAAAGAAAAGCAGTCACTCTTTTTATTCCCTAGAATTATATATCCCAGTAGTTTCATTTCCACCTATTTAGCTTAGATGCCATGGTTCATCAATTTAGAAAAGCATTTCCTAGAATCCTGAAATCTGTTGATTCCTGTTTTAAATAAATGCAGGCAAAAGCCCAATGTTGGAAAAAACCAACACAGGCAACACCCGTGCCAAGCCCTAAACGTTTCTAGATAAAACCACAGTGAAGGTTGCTGCCACTGTACACTCACAATGTAGGTTTCAACTGCCCTGCCCCCACCATTTTACTGATCTTTTCTGGTCAACTTCTCCCACCCTTAACTTTGAACTCAATTCCACTCTCATTTCTTACTTTCGGTGAGTCCTTGACTTGTTTCAGATGATATAGAAGCTACCATTACAGACTTCCTGCCACAAAAAGTACACATCTAGCTTAATTCACACCTAGTTTCTCATACTTTTACTGTTTTTTAAAAGAAAATATTCTCTTCTCCCTGCTGCACTCTAGTTATGCTGGTTTATCCTTCTTGGGGTTCTCAGGGATCCTATACTGCCAGTTACTTTTCCCTCTAACATTTTCAATTTTTTTCTTAATTGGATCCCTGCCATCAGCATTTATACTTGCTCAAATCTCTTCCACTTAATAAAGCAAAAATCAAAACTTTCAACTCACTTTTCCCTCTAGGCACTTCCTTCTCTCCTCTGTGAATGCACCAATGTATTTGACCTATTTTCTTTACAGTTAGGTTCCTGCCATTTTTTAAAATCATTAAAACAATGTTGCAATGAAAATATTGCCTGTAATTTTGTATATTGGCAGGTGGAGAGATAGTCTAGATTTCTAGATAGTCCCACTTCAAAGACTAAGGATTTGATAGGTATGGTCATATTCCACAGGGGATCAGACCACTTCACACTCCCATCAATGGGAGTATGTATTTCCTGCCTTGATAGCAAATTTTGGAAATTCTTGCCTGTCTTAAGATAACATAATTCCTTAATTTTTTCTCATTATGATGGAGAACAAGCTCTTCATTCAAGTTTAAGAGAATCTGGTCTTTCTTTTTCTGTGGTCTTTTTTAATGCCATTGGCCCATTTTTCTAATGAGCTGTTGGTCTTCTTTTTAATATCTGAGACCTCTTTATATAGCAGGGAGATTAGAATAGGCTAGATTTTTCTCAACACAGTACAAAGCCACAGTTTAAAAAAAAGAGGTTTAATAAAATCATTCAAGCCACTTTCTTCCTTGGAAATAAGAGCTCCTGTTCCAATTTTATTGTTTCTGACTGAACCCCAGCCTCTGTGGTTTATATTGTCCTTTGCCCTGCTAAAAATTTATGTGGTAGAAAATTTAAAAATTCAGAAATATGGTCCTATTTATTGACTGAGATCTATGCAAACCTGGCATCCTGGTCATTTTAGAAACAAGATGAGACCTTCTCATAGGACCCATGAGTGAGGTCTGGTCATTTGATAACACCTTAAAATGACACATTATAGCCTTGTTGCATCCTCTTTGATTCTTCTGGATTAAACTCTTGGTTAAAAATATTTTAATTTCCATTTAGCAGCACAACATCAAATACATCATCATCAATAAAGAACTCAAACACATTGGTGATTTTAAGTTTGAATTTATGTTTTGAAATAAAAATGCAATAACAAATTTTTACAAAATTGTCACACAGGAACACACCATAAGATACCATTACATGCTACATTGTCTTAGAAAAAGTCAATAGATCAAATCAATTAGCTGTAAATTAAAACATGAGTTCCTTTCTTTGGGCAAAAAGAAAGCTCATGTGAAATGCTGGACAAAAGCCAGTGAGACCTGCCAGTATAGTCAGTAATGGCTCAATGTTTCCAGGTGTGAGGAAGCCAGGATTCTGGCCTCGTTGGCTGGGGCTAAGCTCTGGCCTCCAGGTTCCCTCTGTGCACAGGACAGGCTTCCACCTGATGCTTCTGAAATCCTGTGTGCATGGTCCTTTTATTTCAGATAACTACATACAATTTTGCCACTATTTTACTTTGTAAACTTCAGAAAATAACATTTACAAGTTTTACCACAAGGAATACCATGATTTTTATTATGACTCTCACCACCTTGGAAAAATATCCATTTTGTAAGTTTCTGGTTTGGTCCATCTTCTTATGACATGCCTAAGAAGCATCTGCCACACGCACACCTGTACAAGTAAGAAACCAGGGGGGTGGTGCTTTTCTGAAGCCCAGTCTATGGCTCTGCCTACATTGAATAGGCTGTCCCACATCTTAGGCTCAAACTATTTTCTCTCAAATTACAGAGTGCCCAGCTGATCATTTATTGTTCTTTCCTTATATTTTCACTATTTATTGTACACATCATATTTCCTATGTTCCTGTAGCAGTTCTTTGTTTAGCCCAACAATCAACAATTGAATTTTTTTATATTAGTTCTTTACACATTTTGTTGGTCTGTAAAGTTGATTTGCATAAAAACAAATGAGAAGAAACATATGCTGGTAGATCTTAGCACCTTAGAGTTATGATTCTGTCTGTCCATTAATATTGCAAGTTAGCCTTAAAAGAATCAACTCAGCTTGCTCATACTTTCTCTAAAATATTTAGTTCTCTTCAAGTAAACATAATTTTTTTATAATAGACATGCTCAGAACAAATAGCACAAAACCATAAGCTATGACAACTGATGTAAAAATGCAGTTGGCTGACTTCCATTTATCAATTCTAAAATAAAGGTGTAAGCCTTTGAACATGCCAATATCCCCCAAGTTCTAAGGTCCATAATTCCACATCATCATTTATATAGTTTGACAAAAACTAGAATGCACAGTCTTAAGTATGTGGAGGAAAATATTAAAATTCATCATTACTGAAACATTTAATCTTCATAAATTATTGAAAATTCATAGCATGGCATCACTAAATCTTGTGAATTATGAAAAATGTAAATTTACAATAATTTCCTCTCATAATAATTGCACCATTATTCATATTTATTCATATTTATTTCCTAATTAAGTTCAAGTCCAACTACCTAATTTTGAGGTAGCTTCATTGTGGTTCTACTGCAGAAGTGGTATGTTTCAAAGTACCATCTTTAGATAAAATTTAAGTGGGAGAGGAAACAAAGTATTATTTATATTGTTGTCTCACTTGGCATACAAACTAACAAAATCAACTATTTCTTTAGGGATAAAAATATAGTTCTTTTGTGAGCATGGACACAATACATGGAATCTGTTTCTTTGCATGAAAAGTGGAGTCAAGAGAAAAGGACTCAAATTCTGTTGCTACCTTCCGGTTTACCCGAGTGAGAATATGCATAAACTCAAGCTTATGAGCGTATTGTTTCAGCAGAGCACACAGTGACTGGATGAACCAGGATCCATCCTTGGAATTTCGCCAGGAATAGTAACCTACAAGACAACATATAACCAAAATATCATGGATACCTGACTTTAATTGACTCTATACATTATTATATAGCCTCAATGATAAAAATAAGCATGAGCTTCCATAGGTCTTTTTAGACTTAAAAAGGAAAAATGGCTTCTTTGGTTTCAGGAGAAATGATGCTGGGCTAGGTGGGGGGAATGTGCATTGTGTATTCACCTCTGCTTTCAGCAGGGAAAGAGAATTGTGGATTAACTTTACCACTGAGTTACCGTGAGTTTTACTTTCTGGGCTCCCTTCCCATAGATAAGAACAAACAAACATGCAGAAGATAAGATGAGGCAAAAGCAAAGACATATAAAAAGGACCATTATAAATTATGTGGTCTTTCAATCAAATTTCATTTTTTAGTTATAGGTAGACACAATATCTTTTGATTTTATTTTTATGTGGTGTTGAGGATCAAATCCAGTGCCTCGTACATGCAAGGCAAGTGCTCTACCTCTGAGCCCCAGCCCCTCACCTTATTTTAATATTGGCTTAGTTAAGAAATAAATTGCTTATGTATGAACACACTTTTTTTTAAAAATATTTTTGTAGTTGTAGATGGACAGCATACTTTTATTTTATTTGGTTATTTTTATGTGGTGCTGAGGCTCGAACCCAGGGCCTCACAGGTGCTAGGCAAGCGTTCTACGACATAGCCCCAGCCCCTGCACACATATTTGAGATGTCATTAGCTACAGGCATCTAAATAAACTACAATAAACACAGAGTATTCAAAAAGTCTGAAAAGGGAAAATAGTGTTTTCCTTGTACTTTTTCAGATCAACCATTGGACCCACTGCATTTAACTTAGAAGTACTGCTCCTGGAGAAATAACTAGAAGATAAAGGAAACCATATTGAACATATTTAAAAATGTAACACTGTTTAAAAAACTCAAAGTGTCAAAGAGTTTGGAAACATAAGATAAAACATAGATTAATGTTTCCAAAGTCTTTGACACCTTGAGTTAGCTATATAATAGTTGTAGAATCAATAAAATATTTATGTATATGTGAAACACAACCATAAAAATGTGGTTAATAACATATTTATAAATTATTTTTACCTTCTTTATTTTTTCCCATTCACTTCTACCCTCTTCTATGCTAGTCATGTTTATCTTATTACCTGTCTTCCAAAGAATTCCTAGAAAACAGTCATCCCTTATTCACAGGGGATGTGCTCCAACATCCCCAATGGATGTCTGAACCCTATATATGCTGTTTTTTTTTTTTTAATGTGTGGATTAGCTAAGGGATTTATTTATTTTTCTAAGACTACTATTATTATATTTTTATTCATTTCACTTAGAAAATATGGATGTAAAAGAGTTCTGTAGTCTTAGGGGGAAAAAAATCCTTTGTATAATACACACAAACACATTCATGTCTTCTACCCACAACTTTTTTTTTTTTTTTTAAAGAGAGAGTGAGAGAGGAGAGAGAAAGAGAGAGACAGAGAGAGAATTTTTAATATTTATTTTTTAGTTTTCGGCGGACACAACATCTTTGTTGGCATGTGGTGCTGAGGATCGAACCTGAGCCGCAAGCATGCCAGGCGAGCGCGCTACCGCTTGAGCCACATCCCCAGCCCTTCTACCCACAACTTAATGCCTTTTCCATCTTAACTAAGAATTCATCATGTACTGCGGCCACAATTTCTGTAGTTTATTGTGTAACAGCAAAATTAACATGAATTTCTTTTTCTTCTTCACAACTTCATGAGATTCATTCTTACTGTATATCTTAGAAACCTCAGTACAAAGTTTTTTTTTTTCCTATAGGAAGTCAAAAACTTTCACTTAAATTCCCCCCCCCCCCATAAAGGAACCACTTTATGGCTTCTCTTTGGCATAACTGAATTTCCAACATCACTACTTTTAAACTTTGGGGCTTTCTTAAGTAAAATAAGGGTAACTTGATTATAAGAACTGATAACTAGACATTAGATGTGACACTGAGATGGCTACTGTGTGACTAATGAGTGGATAGCAGATACAGCCTGGGTACAGTAGACAAAGGGATGGTTCATTTCTCAGGAGAAATGAAAAGAGATTTCATCATGCTACTTTGGGTATATTGTGATTTAAAACTTAATGAATTATTTATTTCTGGAACTTTTCATTTAATTTATTTTCTGGCTACAGTTGACCATAGTTAACGAAAAATACAAAAACTGAAACTATGGACAAGGGGGGATAAACTGTACCTCTCTTCTATTTTAGTAAATGGGTGAAGTTCTTACTTAGCCTCTGTTGCCATATAGTATACTCTTTTTGATATTTTAAGTTTGTGAATGGCACTGTGTAAGTCTACAAATTTTAAAAAAAATATTTTTTAGCTGTAGATGGACACAATATCTTTATTTTTTAATGTGGGGCCAGGTATCGAACCCAGTGCCTCACACATGCTAGGCAAGTCCTCTACCACTGAGCCACAACCCGGCCCCCATGTCTACATTTTTTTGAGATTTCTCTGTGTTATCCTAAAAATATAGACAAGATGGTTATTTTTTAGGGATATTGAGATCTTAACAAGTTTCTGGAACATACTCTTCATTGCTTAAGTCTCCAAATGGCCAAAGTGAAATTCATTTAAAATCTACATATAACATTCACTACATGTAACTTTCTTACCTGGTGCTGTAGAATATGCATATAAGAAGTCGGCCTCTACTGGTATTTTGTGGCATGCCATGTCATCATCAATGCCACTGTCTGTCTCAATGCCACAGTCTAGTTCTGTACCCCGGCAGGCCTACATGTTAGAAAATAAACATTTATTTAAAAAATGTGTGTATCAACATAACTCATATCTAAGGTAAAGGCTATGTAAAATCCAATGCTATTTACTGAGTCTGTCTGATATAAGTCTACAATTGAAATGTACTCCATTTTCCTAAGTGTTGGTTTAAATGAATAAAAATGTAACAATCGTTCTGTAGTCTTAATGAAAAAAAAATCCTTTGGATAATCCACAGTGGAGTAAATTTTTTTTTTTTTTTAAAGAAACACATTTCTTTCTTTTTTTTTAAAATTGTAGTTGAACACAATATCTTTATTTTATGTATTTTTTTAATGTGGTGCTGAGGATAGAACCCAGGGCCTCACACATGTGAGGGGCCTCACTCAGTACTCTACCACTGAGCCACAACCCCAGCCCCCTCACAGTGGAGTAAATTTAATCTCTGATTAATTCTCCACAACCAAGATGTTCAATTTCATACTACCTGAATAATGAAAAGTTTGGGTTTTCCAGTTAGACTTCTACAATAATCTCCTCTGAAGAAACTTGTTAATTTTTTCAGGTCAACAGGTCCATTTGTTCCAAATATTATTCCTTCATCACCATGGCTTAGAATTATACAAACAAAGCTGCTCCTTTTGCTATGATCTTCTTTAGAAACTAGAAAGACATTTATGAGGAAAAAAAAAAAAAACAACTCTTGCAACTTTATTCAGCAATCTCAGACATACTATAGGTGAATCAGATGAAAAAACTGAGAACAGCAAAATTCAACTATAAGAATGGAATTCTAGTAACTTATACTCCATGTATGTGTAATATGTTAAAATACACTCTACTGTCATATATATATGTAAATATATATAATTATATGTAAATATATATAATTTATATATAAATATAAAAGAAAACTGAGAATAGAACTATGAGATCATCTAAATCTAACTGAGAATAGAACTATGAAATCATCTAAATCTAACTTGAGGCACAGTCACAAACTGGAAACCACTGTAGGGGGCTAGCATGAATAAAATTTTTACTACTTATTAAAATATATAAGATCAGAATTATGTGCATGCAGTATAATTCCACATTTGAAGGTCATTCTTTCTAGTTATTTCTTACCATTGTGCAATAACTCCACAATTTCTTCACGTGTAAGGTCATTTTTATTCCTGACTTCATATTTCAAGTTCATGAATATTTCTCTGAGGTTTGCTGCATCTACATCTGTACCAGACCGATAGGCCATTCCTTGCAACAGAAAGAATTACTTTTAATTGCATTTTAAAAGAAGAATATCTGCTTTGAAATAATGAACTGTGTAGCAATTCATGAAATCAGTGAATTCTTCCTTTTAAATGGTTAAGACAATTTGAATTATTTTAAACATGTAACACAAAACCTCTTTAATTTTTTGCATATAAGACACTTTATAATATAAGCTGTCTCAGTGTTACAGATACAAGGATATCTTTCACAGATGTTTAGACAGTGAAAAACAGAAATGACTTCAAAAGCCTAACAATAAGGGTTTGGTCAAATAAATTAGGATTCATTTGTATAATGGAGTATGTTGCTTTTTTTAATATAAATTTTGGCATGGAAAAATGGTCATTTTATTTTTTTAAAGACTAAAAACCACTATGATCCTACTTTTGTTTAAGAAAAAAATATATATACTCACAGGAACTGAATTTTTTTAATTCTAAGTTTACAACAATTTTAAGATACATTACTGCTCTCATATTTCATTAATACTATTCATCAGGTATTCTGCTATGGGTAATCTCTTTTAATCCTTCCAACTACCATGAGTTATTACTATTAGCTTCATCTGTAATGGATGTGGGATATGGCACAGATGAGTTAAAAAACTTGTCCAGGGGCTGGAGTTGTGGCTCAGTGTTAAAGCACTTGCCTAGCATGTGTGAGGCACTGGGTTTGATCCTAGGCACTGGGTTTGATCGTTGGCACTGTATAAAAATAAACAAATAAAATAAAAGTATGCTATCCATCTACAACTACAAAAATAAAATAAAAAATAATAATAAAAAAAAAAAGAGGTAAAAGAAAAGAAACTTGTCCAGGGCTGGAGGTATAGCTCAGTGGTAGAATATGTGCTTAGCCTGGGGGAGCCCATGGGTTTAATACCCAGCACAACAAAACAGAACAAAACAAACAAACAAAAAAGATAGGAAAGAAAAGAAACATGTGCAAAGTTTGTGGGCCACTTTACAGAATGGAAAACACTGTTAGTCATTCAAATTTCAAACCAGAAAAAGCCAGACTACTGTTATAAAAATTTTTGGGGGGGCAATGGAAAAAATGCTTTTTAAAAGAGAAAAGGAAGGAAAGAAACAAAAAAGAATAAATTCAATAGCATAAAACTCTATAGGCCAATACAAATGGATATTTGTAGAAAATGAGGCAGAATACTATTATGGTTTACATATGTGGCGCCCCCCAAAAGTTCATGTATGAGACAGTGCAAGAAGGTTTAGAGGTGAAATGATTGGGTTGTGAAAGCCTTAACCTAATCAGTGAATTAATCCCCTGATAGGAATTAACTGAGTGGTAACCAAAGGCAGGTCAGGTGTGGGTGGAGGAGGTGAGTTATTGGAGGAATGCTTTTGGGGCATAGAATTTGTCCTAGAGCTCCTATTCTTCCTTGATGTCTTAAGCTGGCTCCCTCAACCACACATTTCTGCCATGATGTTCTGTCTTGTCTCTGCTCTGAGGAACACAGTTGGCCATCTATGGACTGAGACCTTGGAAACTGCAAGCCTCAAAATAAACTTTTCCTTCTTAAAATTATTCTTGTCAGGGCTGGGGTTGTGGCTCAGTGGTAGAGCACTCGCCTAGCATGTGCAAGCCTGGGCTTGATCCTCAGCACCATATAAAAATAAATAAATAAGGGTATTGTGTCCAATTACAACTAAACAAAATAAGTATTAAAAAATTATTCTTTTCAGGTCTTTTGGTCAAAGCAACAAAAAAGCTGGCTAAAATATCTACAAGTAAAATTTTAATATGTAAAGCAAATGACAAAGTGCTTTGTCATTTATTTAACAGCTAAGTTGGTCTCTCAATTTGTAGCCAAAAGTAATAAAAACAGTACCATTCAGATTAAGAGACCAATTTCTCAACTCTATTCTCCTCAGTCCTTTTAACTATCCTAACACCAACTCCTGCTTATCTTTCCAGTATAATCTGACTTCCTTCCATTCTCACTACCATTCTGGTTGGGAGTCTCCTAAATTAGATCTGTCCACCTAGTTTCTCTAATTAAAAAATAATTCCAATATGATTAACATGCTGATTTAAATAATTATTACAGCATTATATTAAAGATGAAAAAATAGGAAAGAGACAAAATACTAATTTATATGGTAAAATATGCAAGTTAAATATTGTGTATTTAGGTGATGCAGTAATATATAATCATTGAAATAACAGGGAAATTATGCAGGCCATGAAAAAATGCTTATAGTATATTGAGTAGGACAAGGAGGATACAATATTTGCTTGAATAAGTTTTCAAAAACACTGTCATAAAAAAAAAAGATCAAGGAATGTACCAAAATGTTAATTAAGTTTTGGGGATTGTGAAGTATTTCGTTTTCTATGTTGTCTAAAAAGATATTCTAAAATGTGTTATTAGATTCAAATCATACATGATGCACTGAAAATGGGACTTGGTGCTCAGTCCTTGGTGAATTTAAACACAGCAGTTTCAGTGGTGAAGGTAGAAAATGGAAAGGAAAAATAGGTTTAAGAGAAAGTGGCACGAAGGGAAGATGTCAAGCTTAAACTACATGTTTTCAAAATTTAGGGAAGAAGGGGAGGAGGTGAGCATCAGATCAAACCTTAAGAGGAAGCACACTAAAACAAAGGTGTCTTTAATATGCGATCTCTGTCATCTTTGTAGGGTAAAGAGGAAAAGGGCAAGAGTCAATGAAGACACAAGAAGTAAAGCAGGACGGACCAAGTGGGGGAATAAGAGCTGGGACTCTGGAGTCAGACACACCAGGGTCCAGACTCTAGCTCTGCTACCGTATACCTACGTGACTATGCAAGGTTTTTAACCTTCTGTAATCTAACAGTAGTTAGTTACTTTTCAGGATTGTTATAAAAATAAAAGAGACAATATCTGTCATATGCTTTGCAGGTTTTGGAAAGAAAAAAATACTACTACTTACTTAGGAATTGTTGAGAACCTTTTATTGTCATAAAAGAGGGAGCAGAAGAATAAAGAAGCAAGGGTTACAGGTTAGTAGGGGTAGAAACCAAGCACATAAATAGGAGGCTGGCTGTGGGAAGAGGAAGAGCTTCTGAACATGGTAGAAAAGTCCACATTGTCTTAAAGGACCTGCAAGGTTCTGCCTTTTCTCTACTTTCTGGCTATTTTGTATCACAGTTTACCAATCATTTACACATGGATTCTGTTTTTTTTTTTTTAATATCAAATACAAATGGCACAAATGCTTGAAAAGTTTAAAATATCAGATAAAATACATACCAGTGCTTTTATGAAAGTTCTTATTATTAATGATTAAACATAAACCCATTTCAGGATAATCCATTTTGTAACGATTGTCCAAGGATATTCCAGAGTCCATTGATTTGCTTCCATGTATGGTCTTTCTATTTGGAAATCAACAACAGTTCATCAAGGTAGAAATGACTGGACTGATCCATTAATTTAACTTTTATTACTCATAAGAACAGTTTACATTTATTTAATGCTAGACACAAAATTTTGTGCTAAAGGTTTTTTCTCATATAAATTTTACAACCCATTTTACAGATGAGGAAATGATTGGCCTCAGGCTAAGCAATGTGCTGAAGGTTATGCAGATATTGTGTCAGAGCCAAGGCTGGAGGAAAACTTTGCTGGACTTGGAGTTTAGGCTTTTAACTTCTGTTTCATGTTTTCCTCTAAATTTTAATAAAATTTCATCAAATGCATTTTATAATTTAAAACATTTTTTTGTAATTCTGAAATAGTTTATCCTTTAAGGAAAGAATGACATCTTTTTTTTTTTGTAGTTGTAGATGGACAGAATACATTTATTTTATTTGTTTATTTTTATGTGATGCTGATGATCGAACCCAGTGCCTCATGTATGCAAGCCAAGCACTCTAACCCTGAGCCATAGCCCCAGCCCCAAGAATGACATCTTAGAGATCACCCTGAAATGATAGGAAATCACTAAACTTCTTCAAACTCTGAGCTCAACAAATGAATAATTTATTAATACACAGAAGCACTGTTATAAATAATTGAAAATACTTGTCTGGAAGTCACTTATTTAAAAACCTTGGCTATGGAAGCTGGGCATGGTGGCACACCCCTGTAATCCCATGATTCAAGTCTAAGGCAGGAGGATCCCGAGCCTCAGCAACTTAGCAATACCCCAACTAAAAATAAAATAAAAAGGACTAGGGGCTGGGGTTGTGGCTTAGCAGCAGAGTGCTTGCCTAGCACATGCAAGCCCTGGGTTCAATCCTCAGCACTATATACAAATAAATAAACAAAATAAAGGTATTGTGTATGACTAAAAATAAATAAATATTAAAAAATAAATAAAAAAGGACTGGGGAAGTGGTTCAGTGTTAATCCCTAGTATCAAACAAACAAACAAATAAATAAATTCAAACCTTGGCTATCCAGATCAGGGGTCAGTAAACTGATTTTTTTTTTTTTTAAGGTACTGGGGATTGAACTCAAAGGCACTCAATCACAGAGTCACATCCTCAGCCCTGTTTTACATTTTACTTAGAGACAGGGTCTCACTGAGTTGCTTAGCTCCTTGCTTTTGCTGAAGCTGAACTTTGAACTCAGGATCCTCTTGTCTCAGGCTCCTGAGCTGCTGGGATTACAGGTGTGAGCCACTGTACCCAGCTTAGTAAACTGGTTTTTAAGAGACAAATAGTAAGTATTTTGGGCTCTTAGATCATCTAGTTCAATTTTGCTAGTGAAATTTGCCCAGAACTTTATGTGAATGAATGGGTATGAATATGTTCCAAAAACCGACCATGATTCTGATCGTGATCTACTAAGAATCTGGAAATAACAAGTCCAGGAACAACCAAACACCAAAACCTTAAGTCCATATACTCAAGTACTTTATAGTATTTTAGATTTTTTAACAGTTTCAAAAATTTTGTTGGAACAAAAATTAAAAGTAGTAAATTAAAGGAGTCAAGGTAAGAAAACCATTTTAACATTTAGCTAGAGGTTCAGAGCCCATATTTTACAGCGAAAATGAAAACCCTAAAAGCTTCAGGTTATATAGTATGGGTGAGCCTCACTAATCCAAAAATTCAAAATCAGAAATAGTCAAAAATATGAAACTTTTTGAACAGCAAAGTGATGTCATAACTGGAAAATTCCACACCTGGCCTCATATGACAGGTTGTGGTCAAAACGCAGGTGCACTGAAGGTGTCATATAAAATTACCTAAGGTTTTCTGTGTAAGGTTTTCATAAAACATAATTCTGTGTCTAGACTTGGGTCCTATCTTCAGGACATCTCATTATATACATGAAAATACAGCCAAATTTGAAAGAATATGAAATTCAAAACACTTCGGTTCTCATCATTTCAACCTATAATAGACCACAGAACTTTTAATTCCTCTCTCCTGATGCCCATTCACCAATGCCTCCTGCTGCCTCCTTAGGAGGTAGATCCTCTACCAGCAATATGATTACTAGACCAAGAGGAGCCATGTCTTAACAAAGACCAGAGACTCAAAATATGGGAATATGAGGGTGCCTTATATCTGTGAGACTATATGCAGTTTCCTGTTTATATGATATTCTATATGAAAAGAATATAGGGAAATGTATAAATCACTTTAGAAGTATTTAAACACAACAAACTACAATAACAAACTCTGGAAAATGGGATTGCATTTCAAAAGTTTGATTTTTAGGAAAATTACTTTGTTCAACAAACATGCTAAATCTTTACTACTACTAACTTGTCAATAGCATTGCTACAATAAGTTGTTTCACAGTAAGTGGCCTACAACAATACTGGGCCTCAGAAATAAACTTAATAGAATCAAAAATTTTCCTTTCATTGATAGATAACAATTATACATCTTTATGGGGTGTACTGTGATGTTTTGGTACATTTAGACATTGGGTTGATCAACTCAGAATACTTAAAAGTATCACAAAGATTTCACATGGAAAATAAGAGACATCAATTAAATGAAGAGTTTTATATTTTTCATTTCTCTAGCTACTGGTTATTGGAAGTATTAATAAGCAAACTGAAAGGAAGGCCAAAACAAAACAAAACAAAGTTACAGTAAAAGATAATCTAGAAATAGGCAATTCTTTCCCAGACTGAATATTGACATTGCAATTTAAAATCTAGAAACCAGAGGTCAAAAACACCCTAAACACAAAACCTCTAATCTTGTACAGTGATTTAGGAAGGGCCAGCACACTCTGAGGAGTGAGTTCTGCCTCTGCTGTCTGGTACTTCTAGTCATGGGTCAGAAGCTGTACAGGCCTTTCCCTTTATCCTCCCTATGGTTTTTTTTTTTTTTTTAGTTTTATCCTCCATTTAGCCCATATTCTGCTTCCCCATTTCTCAAAATCTGCTGTATTCTACATACCCATTTTTCTCTGATTGTGTAGGATTCCACTTAAATACTCACTGTTCAAAATTTTTAATGGATTTTGAATCCACTGAGTTTTCATTGTTCTCCATGGTTACTTTTCTTAACTAGAATATAAGCAAAATAGAATAAAGTCACTATAAAGTGAGTCACTATAAAACCAATGTACTACATTAGTCTTCCCAGTGATTATTCCTCCAGATACCCTTGTTTTTCCTCTGTTATTAAAAGTCTCTGTGAGTCAGACCTGGGGAGAATGAGCCTTTGTAAAGTATGCACAATATAAGCTCTCTCTCCTTTTTGTTCTTAACTGAGCTATGAATTACATATAATAAATCATATCAGTACACAGAGAACTGTGCAGCTGGATAAATTTTTCCATTTGTGTATCTCTGCCAGATCAAGATAGGGAACACAACTTGTTTCCTTTGTCACACAACAAAGCAGGTCATCTGTAGGAATTTGGCTTCCAACTAAACATAGTTAAAATAAAAACCAAAAATTTACCATAATGGTATACCTCAGATAATACTATTCTATAATGCTTAGATTCCCAAGAGACACAGTACCAAGAAGTTCTAAACCTCCATATAATCTTTATTCTGAAACTGAGTTTTAAGATCCCAATTTCTCATTTAGGATGTCGAAGGGTTTAGGAAACCTAGAAGTAAAGACTCTAGAGTTTATGCTTTCATTCTTCCATCAACTGCATCTCACACAGTGAACAAGTCCTTACAATCGAAGCCACCACCACTTACTACTATGTGAAACATCTTGTCTTTACTCTTCATGGATATTCTACAAAGTCAAGAAACCAAACTTTTAGTGATGAAGTGAGTTTGACAACAGATGCCACTGAGTGACAGATGCCCTTCTATTCCCACTCTGCTGTGCTGCCTGAGGAAGCCATCTCCTTATTACTTGTCTCCTGAAGTTCTATTAGTAGTCTCTAGCTTTCCAGGAACAAAGGGACTTGCCCTGGTAGTGTACTTCCCCAAATAAAAAGAAAACAGGACAGAAATAAAACAAGAAACAAGAACAAAGAGGCTCAAAAGGATTTCTCAACTCGGGCTGGGGATGTGGCTCAAGTGGTAGCGCGCTCGCCTGGCATGCGTGCGGCCCGGGTTGGATCCTCAGCACCACATACCAACAAAGATGTTGTGTCACCGAGAACTAAAAAAAATAAATATTAAAAAATTCTCTCTAAAATTTCTCAACTCTAGAAGCCCTGGAATGTCAAAAATTTTAAGCAAAATACAACTGTAACCTCTATACTATGCTAAAATAAAAAATACTGGAGAAATACACAATCCTACCATCAGGACTCGTCACCCATAAAAGGCTTTCTAGAAAGTCCCCTGCTTTTTAAGTTTTAAAAATCTTAGTGCCACATACATAAAACTTACCATTTTAACCATTTTAAAGTATACGGTTGATGGCATTAAGTACAGTCACACCATTGCTCAACCATCACCGACATCCTCTCTGGAACTTTATGTTCCCAAACTGAGACTGCATGAAGGCCCTCAATCATGATCTCCTGGAAGTAATTCCTTCCCTTTACAAAGTTAGATTCCTCCCTCCCCTCTCTCCAGTTTTGTGTGCATTTCTGGTGGGAAAGATGGACAAAGAACACAGAGAAAAGGAAGTCCATTTCAATGTAATCACAGAAGAGGGGAGTGTTTCACCTTTTCCCAAAGCCAGTCTATGGTTTGCATTTTTAAGAAGGCTCTTTGCTTTTCTACCCTTTTACTTCCTGTAGGATTTTTAGAAAAATCAGTGGAGGATGCAAGCACAACTGGGATGAACCATCTTTTAGTTAGCTAGCAAGTATTTAGTGAGCACATACTTTGTGCCAGGAATTAGCCTAGACCCTTCAACAGAATGGAAGATGAAACAAGTTCCTTCCTTTAAGAAGGTTTCATTCTAGACAGAAATAATTATAAACTAATAATAATAAGATTTCAGACACTGGAAGGAGCTCTGAAGAAAATAAAATAAGGTTAACTAATAAAAGGGGAGTATGAGCTACTTTAGCTAAGGTGGGGGAAAGTCACTGTTGAGGTGATATTTACAGAAATCTAAATGATATAGGTGTTGCCACTAGAGGATGTCACTGCTGGAGGAAGGATCAGTAAGTATAAAGGATTTGGAAAAGTTTGTGGCACGCATGGTACAGAAAGACGAGTTTGACTAGTGCATGGTAAAGGAAGCGAAGGAGTAAAGAAGGATGACAAGGGAAAGGTAAATTACATAAGGTCATAGGAGACAGAAGGAACTTTGATTCTGTCCTAATTATAAGGAGAAACCATTGGAACATTTTAGGTGGAAGAGGAACAGCATTCTGACTAAAGGGAGAATCAGCTGCAGATGGTCAGAATGGTAGCATATGGTCCAGTGAGAAGACTTTCTGAATAGTCCCAGCAGAAGATGATAGTAGCCTGAACTAGAGTTGAACAGTAGATATAGATAAGACTCTAGAAGTTGGGGGAAAGATCAGGACAAGAGATATACTGGGGCACCCTGCTATTTAGAGATTTAGTAGAGAAACTATTTGCATGTGGTATACAAAGCATGCAAAAATCTTTCAAAGAGAGCTTATTCATCCATTCCAAGTCTTGCTAAGAGGTCAATTTAGTTGAGAGCCCTGGTTTTGTTGAATGTTATGCATATAGTAAGAAAATACTATCTGAGACCTGAAAGTGGGCAAAAGAGATTTTTAGGTCTAATTTCAATGGGGTGTGGGCACTGTCTAGAACTCTCTGGGATTATGGATTCTATAGGATACACTCTTGACAGTATCTTTACAACTCTCTAGGAAGTTAAGCTATAGAAAATAGCTAGGCTAATGATTCTTGTCTATAGCAGTCAAATTGAATTTTTCTTGTAATGATGTAATTGATATCCACCTGACCAAAAAAACCTGCTCCTTCCAATTTACATTTATTACCCTACAGGAAAGTAAAACCATTGGTTGGTACATAATTGCAAATTTGCCCAAACTCAAAATATACTCCTCCAACAATGATAGCTAGTATGAACTCTGGACTTTGGGTGATAATGATGTGTCAATGTAGGTCCATCAATTGTAACAAATGTACTGCCCTGATGGGGGATGTCAATAATGGAGGAGGCTAATCAAGTGTGGGGCTGGGAGGATATGGGATAGCTCTGTACAGTCTTTTTAATTTTGCATTAAATCTACAAATGTTCTGAAAAATAAAGTCCAATTAAAAAACAAAACAAAACTGGGGCTGAGGAGGTGGCTCAAGCGGTAGCGCGCCCGCCTGGCATGTCTGCGGCCCGGGTTGGATCCTCAGCACCACATACAAACAAAGATGTTGTGTCCACCGATAACTAAAAAATAAGATATTAAAAAATTATCTCTCTCTAAAACAACCCCCCCCAAAAAAACAAAACTATTCTATCTTTATGACTGATAATAGAATATTTAAATAGGGATCAGCTTTCTAGAATTTTATAATATTTGTTTCTTGGCTCAGACCAATGTAAGATTTTATCTAAATAGTAAGTCACTTTAAGTAGTTGTTTCCTTAAGTCAAACTCAAAAAAGTCAAGGGTCATACCTTGACTTTCAATTTTGCTTTAAATACCGTTTTTCTCATATATGGAACCTTGAGAGAAAAAAGGGGAAAAAAAAGTATGTGTGTGTAAATCTTATGAAAATTGAGGGGAGACTAGTAGAGGAGAGGACCTAGCAGGAAGAGGGAAATACTGGGGAATAATATTGGCCAAATTATATTGTATGTAAGTACAAATATGTAACAATGAATCCCACTATTACATAAAATTATATTGTATCAGTAAAACATATGAGAAATCATTTTCTTTTCCTACATCAAACCAACTTTCTTCAACCAATTATTGAAAGTTTAAAAAAAGTTTAGACAGATCAGTCTTATTGCAATAAACTCATTTCTGATATTAGAAATGAGACAGATGAATTTGAAAAAAAACATTAATTCTTCCAGGACTGGAGTTAAAATATTAACTTATATTTGATAAGGATTTCTTAGGAACAGATACTACAATGAATTTATTTTTCCTCATTATTATTATGTATCATCTCAGTTATCAGTTGATCTTCACAGACAACTAATTTTTATGTGATGGTGAATAAAATCCTTCTGGCACCAGACATGTGCACATTTGCTATTTGTCATCATCTGCTTTTTCCACGTGAAGTACTAAATCCAATCTCTTGGGAGTGGAGCTGTGCCTTCTGCAGAATTGCTAATGTTACACTCAACATTACCTCACCTCCATTAGCTAGTGACTGGCTGAATACAAATTATTCTGGGGATGGTGATCTCATCTTAGAAGGATAAAAAATCATCTCCTAAGGGAAACCTTTATTGCCCTAAATGATAATAGGAGTTAGGTTCTTACATTTTTCTATTGACAAAAAAACACATAAGTGAAGATAAATAATGGGGTTTAAAATACATACCCTGGCACAATAAGAGACTTAACTCTAATGGTTCCTTACTGTGATGATGTGTTATTCTTTGCATCAGTTTAGGATTCTGATAAGAAATCAAATTTTCAACATATATTGGGGTCATGAAGAAGTTGTAAGTAAAGCAGCTGACATTAGATACCAATGTGGAATTTAGATCTTAAAATTACTCATTCCTGAATTCCTTTAACACTTGCCACAGAAGTTACAGCAGTCAGATGTTCAAAAGTTAAAAAATGTTGCCAGTATAAATTTACTGTCACTCTAAATAGACATTTAAACATTTCAAGCTGTGTTTCTCGAAGGAAGTGAAAAGTTGGAATGCTTTCCCTATTTACATGCTGGTTGGCCAGTTATTTGTTGCAATACTGGCATAAAACAGAATAAATTTTCTATAGAACTAAAGTAGAGGAATAGGGCAGGGGATGTGGCTCAAGCGGTAGCGTGCCTGCCTGGCATGCATGCGGCCTGGGTTCCATCCTCAGCACCACATACCAACAAAGATGTTGTGTCCGCCGAGAACTAAAAAATAAATATTAAAAAATTCTCTCTCTCTCTCTCCTCGCTCACTCTCTCTTTTAAAAAAAATATTCTTAAAAAAAAAGTAGAGGAATAGAAATTAATTTC